CTGATTCTCAAGTTGTTTTTCTCCCTCTTCTTATGGATGCTCTTCTTTTTGCAGCCCTTTATAGCTTAAATATAGAACACTGTTCTATTACATCTAGAACAATTCAGAAGGTTGCTGATTCACTGGATTCTGGATCAGTGCTGACGCAAATGTGTTTAGGTACTTTTGATCAGACAAGTTTTGATGCTACATCCAGAAGAATTGATTATTCCTTAGTAGAGTTTCTGACATGTTCTACTTCAACAGGATACAACCACCCTATATCTGGCAGCAGTTTAATGAATTTATTGGCTAAACTTGCAAATTTAAAGAGGTAGTCCATTCGATTTAGTTTTCTTTTTGCTTCCCCTAGATGGTGCAATTGTTTGAGATAAGATGTCCCTATGGATTGGAATGCAGCAAATTCATAAGTTTTACTTTTTAATTTTTTTAGATTTTCAGAATTGAATCTGGATGGTTTAAAGCTAAGCAAGTCTGTTATAGATAGCCTTTGCAAACTATCCAAAACCTCATGTTTGTCAGGGTTGATGCTGGGGGGTACTAGCATCGGAACTGTGAGTATTTTATTTTATCTTTCCTTTGGTTGATGGGTTCTATCAGAGCTGTTCTTTTGTCCCACCTATCTTGACTGTCTTTCTGCAGGATGGTGCATTGCAGTTAATCGAGTCATTGTCCAGTGGGGCTCCAGAATTGGTGAAGCTTGATCTACCAACTTGTGGACTGGTATCTCAATGCATTGTCAGACTCAATACTGAAGTTTCTTTGATCAGTAGCATTATGGAACTGAATCTTGGAGGAAATCCCATCATGCAAGAGGGTGGCAATGCATTGACATTATTGCTCATAAATCCTCACTATTGTTTAAAAGTTTTGGTCCTGTGCAAATGTCAACTTGGTCTTCTTGGTGTTCTTTGGATACTTCAAGCATTAGCAGATAATTGTTTTTTTGAAGAGCTCAACTTGGCAAAAAATGTCTATTTGGATAATGATAGTACTTCATTCTACAGCCAAATAACAACTAAAGAGAGCCTGAACTCCCTGCAGACAAATCTCAATTTTTTGGCTCTTCATTGAAGGCATCAACACCAATAGAGGATCAAGCTGCTAAACTGATATTGTGTACAACTACAACTGACTACAATCACCTAGAAGTTGCTGATCTCAATGCAAAATCAACTTCCCAAGCACAGGTAAAGATCCATTAATAGTAAAGTCAACACAGCCTCCTACACAAACAACATGAGATGCCAGAAAATCAGCAAGGGCAGTGGCTTCTCTATATACACGTCTAATATTTTTTTACAGGCCAACAAAAATTCTGTTACAAAAAACTAGATTTTCTGTTTGCAAAAGTAACAAAAAATCTGTTACAATGAATAACCAACAACTAAAAAGCCATTAACGGCTTTAATCCTTCAAAATCATCTTCGATCATCCACATTACTCCCCCAAAATTGCACAATACTCCCAACTGATCATAGGCACCACAACAGTAGTAGCCTAATTCCTGCAAAACAGTACAACCAAGCAGTTTGCCTCCCTATACACATGAACCAAACTGTTTTGAAAAAATACAAGAAATGACTTAAAACCATTTTACACTATATTCATGCATCTTAGTCTCCTCTCAATTCAGCTTCTGGCCCTTTGATTAATCACTACCTTTCTCAACCTTGCATAATCAATAACCAGCTTGATCATGTTGCAGAAGTAGCTTGCCAGACAATGGAGAAAAATTATAAGCAGAGAAAAATATAAATACATGGAGTGGCAAACTACATTACTATAATGTGAAAAAAAAAACTGATTAGCACTCACAGCAGAATAAGTTAAAAGTCGAGCCATTAAGATAGGAATTGCTACCTGGATTTGTTAAATACGTTAAACAAAACAAATAAGCACCCAAAAAATGAACTGAAAAAATTACAAAAAAGCACCACTGTCTTCTCCAAAACCATTTGAACTAATTCATGAGAATCATATTCAATCATAAACAACCTTGTGCACTTAATACCACACACAACATAATTAAACCCATAAATCCAACATAATACATAAACCTACATTAAAATCATACAACAAAACTAGAGTCATTGGCTCTGTCGAATGATCCAAGAACTAATGAAATAAGTCATTGGCTCAACGGTTCACCTGAGCGAGTTTGCCCAAGTATATACACCCCGAGTTTTTGTTACATGACAAAGGACGAGGTCAATCATCATCAATAACTATGACATCATCTTCCCTCCTTCTTGAATTTACTGATGGGCATGATCCAGCACTACTATCAATGTGTTGTTAACTTGAGGTTGGTACATTATTTTTGAAAATAATTTCCAACATTGGGAAATTTGGACAAGGATCCAAATAATAGTTACGAGGAAAACCATCATCCTGTAATAAATGTGTCAAGTTAAAATATAGAACATAAAATTACCAACATGTATGAGTAATAAAACAATGACACACTGACACGAACGTGAAACAAATTAATTATAATCACGTACTTGAATGAAATCTAAACCACCAGACTCTGGGATTTCGACAACACACGTAGTCTGCGTGTCCTAAACAAACATTTCACTATTTAACATCTCAACAATGCTTTTATATTGGCCCTCCCAAAAAAAGGATTAGCCTCAACATATCACTCATAGACAGATGAAACCTAGGCATCTTTCATCGCGTACGTTTAAAAAGTGCATCAATTAGTCTTTCTGAATATCTGCCTGCTACAGGTAATTTTTCACGATTTTTAAAGTCAACTAATAAGTCAAGCATGACATCAACTTCATCCTCAATAACATCGGGTAGCTTCATTGTGAACTAAAACCTCAACAATTACAAGAACAAAATATATTTTCAAGCCATCATCAATAACCATACATACGTAAGAAATAGTCATATGGATAGTCCAACATAAAAGTTCTTAAACAAGTTACAAAGTTATGCAAAAGTCTTCACAAACCTACATATGATCAACATACATAATTCATCATCATCTATCCAAGAAGTAGTAAAACATCTAATTAATAAGTCAAAGATCTAATTAATAAGTCAAACATCCAAAACATCCACATAATACATAAGTTGCTAAAGTTAATGTGACACACGGTCAACCAAAAGTTAGTTCATAAGCAGGGCACGAATAGCTTTACATACGACCTTGATAAACATCTAAATCAGGCCACAATATGCTACCAACCCAGNGTTGCTAAAGTTAATGTGACAAACGGTCAACCAAAAGTTAGTTCATAAGCAGGGCACGAATAGCTTTACATATACGACCTTGATAAACATCTAAATCAGGCCACAATATGCTACCAACCCAAAGTGCTCGCTTTTCCACGGGCAAGCTAAAGAAAATGTCAACTTTTATGTTATTTGAAACAATTTTGTATGCTGCCTCGTGTCAGTGTGCCATTGTGAGGCCATCTATTTTCAACAACTCTGGTAGGATGGGACGTCTACTTGTAAATGCATTTTGTTCGTAGCCTACTCTCTGTGCAATACTTGGTAGTTGGTTCTCGCTTGAAACAACATAATCACCAAATACCCTACATATCTGGGAAAGACTTGTAGCCATTGAATCGTTAATATCATTAGATTTTTTTTTTTTGGTCTTACGTGTCTGTGGGGTGACATTCACACCCTCCTTGCCCTNAGCACTACTATCAATGTGTTGTTAACTTGAGGTTGGTACATTATTTTTGAAAATAATTTCCAACATTGGGAAATTTGGACAAGGATCCAAATAATAGTTACGAGGAAAACCATCATCCTGTAATAAATGTGTCAAGTTAAAATATAGAACATAAAATTACCAACATGTATGAGTAATAAAACAATGACACACTGACACGAACGTGAAACAAATTAATTATAATCACGTACTTGAATGAAATCTAAACCACCAGACTCTGGGATTTCGACAACACACGTAGTCTGCGTGTCCTAAACAAACATTTCACTATTTAACATCTCAACAATGCTTTTATATTGGCCCTCCCAAAAAAAGGATTAGCCTCAACATATCACTCATAGACAGATGAAACCTAGGCATCTTTCATCGCGTACGTTTAAAAAGTGCATCAATTAGTCTTTCTGAATATTTGCTTGCTACAGGTAATTTTTCACGATTTTTAAAGTCAACTAATAAGTCAAGCATGACATCAACTTCATCCTCAATAACATCGGGTAGCTTCATTGTGAACTAAAACCTCAACAATTACAAGAACAAAATATATTTTCAAGTCATCATCAATAACCATACATACGTAAGAAATAGTCATATGGATAGTCCAACATAAAAGTTCTTAAACAAGTTACAAAGTTATGCAAAAGTCTTCACAAACCTACATATGANAAGAAATAGTCATATGGATAGTCCAACATAAAAGTTCTTAAACAAGTTACAAAGTTATGCAAAAGTCTTCACAAACCTACATATGAGCAACATACATAATTCATTATCATCTATCCAAGAAGTAGTAAAACATCTAATTAATAAGTCAAAGATCTAATTAATAAGTCAAACATCCAAAACATCCACATAATACATAATTTGCTAAAGTTAATGTGACACACGGTCAACCAAAAGTTAGTTCATAAGCAGGGCACGAATAGCTTTACATACGACCTTGATAAACATCTAAATCAGGCCACAATATGCTACCAACCCAGAGTGCTCGCTTTTCCACGGGCAAGCTAAAGAAAATGTCAACTTTTATGTTATTTGAAACAATTTTGTATGCTGCCTCGTGTCGGTGTGCCATTGTGAGGCCATCTATTTTCAACAACTCTGGTAGGATGGGACGTCTACTTGTAAATGCATCTTGTTCGTAGCCTACTCTCTGTGCAATACTTGGTAGTTGGTTCTCGCTTGAAACAACATAATCACCAAATACCCTACATATCTGGGAAAGACTTGTAGCCATTGAATCGTTAATATCA